GTCGATAATTAGCTAGAAAAGTTTTAACTTGGCTATTAACACGCATTTGCTGCATAATGGGCCTGTCTGGCATAGAATTTGTGCTCTGGCTCCATGGCTTACCTTTCAGGTCGGCCACGTGGCGCATTAACTCAAATGCCTGGGCAATAAAGCAATGTCTTGACTTTGGCCAAAAACTTTTGCCACTCGCCCCTGATTGGCTGTGGCAGTGGCAACAGTAGCAACGGCAGCAACATCCACAGCATTGGCACAACAATTGCCGCACACTTGACTGGCGTTGAGTGTTTCATAATTAAAGGCGAACAGCAAAAACAAAAAATGCCACACTAAAGCCTTGAACTCATTCCCTTGCTGCTGCCTTTGCCTTTGCCTTTGCCTTTGCCTTTGCCGTTGCTCTGGCTCTGGCTCTGGCGCTGGTTCTCGCTGTGGCTGTGGCTGTGCCTGTGGCTTTGCCTGCGGCTGCATTGCGTGTGGCGGCTGGCAGCATGGCCAAGTTGCAGCCACAATTGTTGCACGCACAGCCCCAGTCAAGTGGAAAAATGGCTGCAGGCGTGGCCAGCCCTATATATGTATATTTGCACACAGTCTGCCTGTGTGAGCAATTTCATTTCATATTTTTGCCCCCAGCCCTAGTTTTGCATGGCCTCTAATTACCTGGCTGCCTGGCGTGCAACTTTTTGGCCTGATAATTTCTTAATACTGAACTCCGTTGATTGCGGCAGTCCCATAAGGCCACCCACCTTCGAGGCCCGCAAGCAGCAGATTCATTAGCCAACTGATTTCGAATTGATAGCAGCAATTGCGTATGATTTGAAAAGTTTTTTACTTGCGGTCTGTGACTCGAGTAATAAGCGATCCTCTGTGCTTAAACTTGCCTTGAAATTCGAGCTGATATATATACATATATATATATATATATATATATATATACGTTACCTAATGTGAAAAGTTATTCGAGCTAGGCACAGATTATAGCTCAAGCTGCGCTTCATTTTCTTTCAATATGTTTCTGCTACATTGATCTAGCTGCACTGCACTCTATATCTAGCTCTATCAATGAGAAACTTACTTCTCACAAATAAATATTCCTCAACTCTCTTGCTCTGATTCCCTTCAGCCTGTAATTGAAGTTCATGTTCCGATTGAGATGGTCCTCAAGTCCTTGCTCATGCTTCAGCTTACTACAAATTCTTATTTAATAATAAATTATTTTTGACTCACATTTGAGTGAGGCTTTCATTGATGCTTCTCTTGCACTTCAGTGCTAAAGATTTCCTCTTCTTCAGACTGTCTCTGGTATTGAATTTACAAATTGCGAACTCATTTCAAGAACTTACAAACGATGCACTTCTCTTAAAGCGGACCACAGTGCACTCGTTTTGCACTTGGCCAAGCTCGTTGAAGGACTGTATTGGGCCACTTTGGCCGTAGCTGGTACTGAAGCCCTGCACACATGTCAATTGAGCTGCTGCAGACATAAATCAATAGCTCTCTTACGGCAATGCCAATTGCTGAGACCACGACATGTGTGCCTTAAAAATGAGCTGCAGCTGTAGCCTGTAGCCGCAACTGCAATGGGCCGAGTGTTCGTTCGTTTTGTCAGCAGCTAGCAGCTAGCCGGGCCCAGATGGGCCAAAATAAGTAATTGCATTCAAGCCAGAAAAATTGCAGGTAGTTAAGCTGGCAGCCCCGACGCGACGGCCACCGTTGCCTAATTGAATTTTTCAGCGCCTCGCCCATTTATTAATCCGATTTCAATCGACTTGCGAGTCCCAGGTGTAACGTTGCATTTCCCGTCGAACTAATGACATTCATTAGCCACATTTAGATTGCCATCACTGAAACTGAAATTGAAACTGAAAACGAAAACGAACGCCATGCATTCGTTTGCGAATCGTGGCAAAAAGTATTGCTAGAGTGCATTTAGTGCATTTCGTTTAAGACCTTTAGAAAACTAATTGTTTTTTTTTTTTTTTTTTTTTTAGCAAAATTTAAAAGATTGCAAATTTTTAAAAATCATTATTTACTGTTGAAAAAGATAATTTATATAATTGTTATTTTGCAGAATTTAAAAGTTTGTAAATGTTTATAAAATATTATTTAGTATTGAAAGGGATTATTTATATAAGGGGTATATTTAATTTATATAAGGGTCCATTTAAATGAAAAGGTCTGCATATTTTTGTATGTCCTTAAGTATCTAGCTGGATTTTACTGTAATAAAGCTAGATATTCCATCTCAAATGAATATGGCCTTAGATAATGTCTAATGATATATGTATATATCTAAGGATAAATCAGAATTATAATCACAGCACTCGCATATGCAATCTTTTCGGTCAACAGACAAAGAGGTGTATGAGCAATCGAAAATTGTCTCCTTTAATCCTCCCACCTGGAACCCTGTGCCCTCTATTCTGCTGTCCATCAACCACACGTTCGATAACTCAATGCCCACGATCAATAAATCAGTTGCATTGTTTGCCTAAGGACTGTCAAATGTTGAGCTGATGAATGAATTTCGCAAGAATCACAAAGGAATTTGTATACTTGCTGATTTGCGCCACGCCCATTGTGCTGTGTCTATAAATTGGGTCAAATTTTTGGGCTTTGCCGTTTTTTGTTTTCGTTTTGGTTTTTTGTTGAGGCCGCCTGCCTTTTAATTAGCATGTTTATTTGACTTTGACTGTACGAGTGAGAGAGCGCAAAGTTTGCGCCACTCAGAGGCGCAGTAGCCCCAAGCGCACAGGACGTATGTGTAATTTCAGTGCGTATGTGTGATGTGTTGTGCATGTGTGCGTGTGTGTGTGTGTGCCTCTGCGTTGAGTGTTGATTAAACAAATTGCAAATGAGTTTGGGGCCTTTTTTTGTTGTCGTTTTTGTTGCTGTTGTCGGTCTAAATAAATATACAATGCTTTGGGTAAGACATGCACTTGAATAAACTCTTATAAAACTAAATAAATAAACACGCATACAAACTAGAGAACTGTAGTTAAACGCACAAATAAAAAGCAAATGCCAACGGCAAGGCGGGCTCTCATCTATCTCCTTCTCTATGTGTGTGTGTGTGTGTGTGTGCAAATGACAGTGAGTTATTTAAGAAATGCAATTTCAATTAAATATGCAAAATACTCAAAGTCTAATTTAGACAGCCACCCATTTGGGCGAATCGCTTTGGCTCGCAACTGCCATTTTGTTACAAAAACTAGCTACAGCTACAATGCGCAGATACTTAAATATTTATATGAAGAACAGCAGCAGCAGTAGCAGGAGCAGCAGCAGTAGCAGGAGCAGCAGCAGTAGCAGGAGCAGCAGCAGCAGCAACTGCAACAAAAGTTTGTAATCAACAATTTGCATATTTGCTTTGGCAATGGCAAAAACTCTGCCGCCTTCACCTTGCGCTCAGTGTATTTTGTATTTTTTGTTGAATTTAAATACTCTGTAAAAAGCAGAATGAACGGGGTATGCCGAATTATTATTGAATTAAAATTTATTTAAAATCTTGTTATCATATAAATTTAATTTAAATGAATTGATTACGTGATTTATAAATATTACAGAATATGAAGTTTTTGTTATTTATATGGAAGAAATGTTTGGTAAAATTCTTTAAGAGTTTTATTGCAACAATAATTAAAGTACTTTCTTTCAATAGACAAAGTTCATTTTCAATGAACATAGCTTATCATTTATCTAAAATAATAATAATATAATTGAATTTATTGTATTAATTAATGTATTTATTAAAGTTTTTATATATCAATAATTTTTTTTTTTTTATTTATAAATTTTTTTATTTTATTTATTTTTTATTTGTTTATTTAGTTTTTTTTTTTTTTAAGTTACTTATAATACTATTATATATTTTTAATATTATAGCTTATACAATCAAGTCCTGATAGTTTGTATTTCGTTAAATCGAAAAATGATTATATTCCCTTGAAAGAAATTCGTTCTTAATAACTCTCGATATTTTGAGTTTCTGTGTAAATCGAAACAAAAAAGATCTACTTGCCATTTCGAGTTATCAGAATTTCACTGTATATATGTATATATTTATGAAACAAAAACAAAAACAAAAAGCAAACAGAGTATCATTCAGTCGGTTTTTTTTTATACAAATATAGTTTTTTCTGTTGAGTTTACAGTTGCATTGTTTTGTTTTCAGTTGTTTTATTTCTGTTATTGTTGTTTTTGTTGTTGCTGCTGCACTTTGCACAGTCCTTGTTCGGCTGCTTTTTGCAGGCTTTTAAGCATTTGGCAAGCATGAAACTTACTTCATTTGCGTTTATGTGATTTTACGCTCTAATAAATCCAACTAGAGGTGCTTCGACAGGGTATGCCCAGCCACAATTTAAATAAATGTGCATTTATATAAAAATATGTTCATAATGATAGAAAACCAGTTATTCGAGTCCCTTAACTTTGCCTCTTTTTGGCGCAGGTGGAGATGAAACTGTCGACAGGCTTTACAAGTCTTGGCCGAGTTAACACCTGCACAAGTGGGCGTGGTCACACTTCACACACGTCCTGGACCACTAAGCACTTGGCCACTGGCCAATGCGAGTGTCCAATGCCATCCATTCGACGGCTATTTAGCGTTTGTTGACTGGATAATTATGTGGTGCGTGCGTGATTTATAAGCGGCGGCTGGTGCGCTGACGCCGCCGTCTGAATGCCAGCCAGGATTATGGCGAAAAGACAGGACTTTTCGCATCGTGGCACTGACTTTGCTGCATGTGCTGCAAACTAATTGACTGTCTGTGTCGGCGGGCGCAGAGCAAACAATGCGGCCTCACAGCCTGACACTAAATAACCAGACTAACAATGTGTAGGTGCAAATGTGCCACGGCACGTGGATACGCATGTGTGTATATGTCTGTGCTCGCATGTGGCTGTGATTGTGTGTGTGTGTGGGGTGTGGGTATGTGGATGAACAATATTCAATATTGCAGACACAACAGCATGGGCCTCAGTTCGTCGGAGGTGCGCGAATTACCATAAATTGTTTCTTGACTGTAAAAATCACCTTGCTTCAACTGGACTGGAAGATTTATTAAGACTTTTGATAGAGCGGGTATAACATGTACTTCGGTTACTGGATTGTCTTGTATACAAATTTTTAAACATGATTTTGGAGTTTCAAGACAAAAACAGGCTAGATTAATATTGGCTTTTAATTTTCTTAGAATATCCATTCCAAACAGGCCTTTAAAATGTGGATGAAAGTCGAAAAGAAGAAACTCCAAAATCATTTCTTCTTTAAACTCTGTAAGCGATTGAATAATGGTTTTTCTCTAATGACATGTTGATTTAAGACAGTCTGGATAGTTACAGGATTATTGAGAGTTTTGCGATCGACATTGGAAACCAAAGTTGGGCTTATAAATGAATTTGTGGAACCTGTATCTATTAAAAATTTGATGGGTTGGTTTGTGATGGAATTAATCCATATGAATGGTAGTGTTGAGCCATGTGTTCTTTTTGTTAAGTACCCTGTTGAGTCTTGGAGGCAGTTTGAAAAATTTTCTGCGTCGTTGATATTGCAAAGTTCAGTTGATGATTGTTGTTCATTAATATTATGTAATTGATTGTTGGGGGTGATTGTTGAGTTGAAAGGATTTAGAGTTGAATTTCTATTATTATTGTGATAGTTAGGCTGAGTGATGGCTGCAGAATTTCTATATGAATTGCTTCTATTGTTATACTGTGGGTTATTGTTAGGATGATTTTTTATATTTTGGGGGCGTGAATATGGTGTTATTTGTGCTCTAATTTTCTGAGTGTTATTTGGTTTTTGAGAATAGAAGGTCTTTTCTATACGGCAATATTCGTAGGCTTCGTTAATATCTTGCGGATTTTTTGATTTTACTGAAGTTTTAAGAGGTTCTCGCAAGTGGATTAAAAATGTATTCAAGCAAATTTCGTCATAGAGTTTAGCTTTGTCGGTCGAGTATTGATTTGCGTTTCGTAATTTGTCTGTTAATTGAGATCTTATTTTCAAAATACCATAAAAAAGTTGACCTAAAGATAAGTTATCAGAAATGTTTTGCAAATCGTGAATAAGCATAGCTTCACCTTTTTGTTACCATAATGTTGAATCAGATTAGCCTTAATGTCATTCCAGATGAGTCCAGTGTCGCACAGTTTTAACGCGTCATTAGCTCTTCCTATGACTTTATTCCTGATAGCTCTTAGTAGAAGGGAGCTGTACGGTGTCTGGTCGATTCCTTGCATAGATGTGATCACTTCTTCCACATTAACGATGAAGTCTTGCAGTTGATTAGGGGTTCCGTCAAAGGTAGGTACTTCCTTGATGAAAGCGAGGATGTCGGTTGGGGTTACAGTTGTTGGAGTGTTATCCATGCTAATTGTTGAAGGTGTACCGTTTGAAGTCGATATAGTAGACGGAAGTGATACCGAGGCGTTGCCGGAGTCCATTGAGTTTTCGTTGGGAGGATAAACTGTGTTTTCGCTTATTTTTATGATTTGCCTGGTAGATGTTCTTGGCCGAAGTGTATATCGCTTTGACATTCCTTAATAAAATGCTATTGCTTGTGGTATTGACACCAGTTTTACGAATGCTGCGTTGGTATAAAAGTTGTTGCGCCAGAATTCATCGGATCTAATTCACCGTAGGGAAAAACAACGTAAGAATGAAAATGATATATACTATGAAAATTTGCGTATGTGTTTTACCAAAGCCGATCAGTTAAGTCATATAATTATCAACGTTTGATTTTATAGACTTTTCTGTTCACATGAGCGATTACGACTATTTATCACTGCACTATGAGATTATTTGTAAGCTGTATGTATGTCTTTTCTGTTTGAGCTCTGTGTCGCAACTGATCTTGTAGTTTTGCGAGTTGCTCATTGAATAGTGTCTTTCACTACAAACTACATATTTTGTAGCGTAGTTGTGCGAATGAATGTGACGCCAGGCATATTTCGTTTCGCCGAAATAAGCGACGGTGGCGGTCGAAAGACAGATTAGCGCCATATATTGTATGTTGTTTTTATTGTCGGCCGAAATTTCTGAGTTTTGAGCGTTGTAATTCTGTCGCGTGTCTAGTGGCGCCGGACATCAGAGCCTCTTTAATGTTGAGAGTGACGACCGAAATTCAAGATTCCGTTAGGTCGGCGGCAAACGCAAATTGTGGCGTTGCTGCTTTTATTTATTTTTCATAGCGTGTCTTAAAATTTCATTATTGTGAAATAATAGACGATTTTCTAGTTACGTATGTCTGCATGTACAAATTCACAAATACATTACTATGTTGTTTAATCATGCTGTGGCAGTAGTGATTATCAGTGATTGATTCCACCCCACCACAACAATGTTTGTTGTGTATGAAGTACGATGATCAGCGTTTGATTCCATATATCACACCACAAGATGTTCATATGCATATATATTTATATATGTATATATTTTTAATGAATAATGTTGCGATAACAGCAATTATCAACGATTGATTCTGCCCAATCGCAACACATTTGTTATTTAAAATTAGGTACATGTGTACATGTTTATACATAGACTCAATATATATATATATATATATATATATATATATATATATATATATATATATATTTTTTTTTTTTTTTTTTTTTTTTGCTGTGGTAACGATTATCAGCGATTGATTCCGTTCCATTTAGCAATGCATCTTATACACAGTTACTCCACTTTAGTGAAGTTCACAAAAATAATGATACTTAGCATGATTATAAGTAGATCCATTCCTTAACCGGCTGCGCCAATCGGGAGCTAGATGGTGTATATATGTAGGTGTCAAGATATTAATAAAACGTCCTCTTCATTCAAATGCCAAAACAGAAGTGAGTCTTTATTTCTAAGTTTTTTGGTTTCTTTGTTTCGTATCTTCTTACAAAGAGTACAATGCTTATGTGTAGGTATTTTATAATTGTGTGTGTGTTTGAGTGTTTTTGTGTGTGCTTATGTGTGTACAAAGAATTATTGAATATGTGTTTGTGTGTGTTTGAGTGTTTTTGTGTGTGCTTATGTGTGTACAAAGTAATTTTTTAATTTTTTTTTGTGTGTTGTTGGGTTGGTAACTCGCGTGCCTTGAAATTAAATGTCGTTATAAGTAGGCATTTATATACAGCGCAAGGCATACACACACACACACACACCCATGTGTATCTACTGCTATATAACTGCGTATGTGGCACACATTCATTTACCCAGTCGCTTGTCGACAGCCACCAGGTCGGGATCTGGCTTATGCCCAGGGTCTCAGTCTCCGTCTCCGTCTCCGTCTCCGTCTCAGTCAGAGTCGGAATCGCGTTTTTTTTTTTTTTTTGTGCCCGAAGTTTGTCTTTTGCCACACAAAACAAATATTGAAAAAGAAATAAAACGCAAGCCAAATAGCGCAAAAGAAAGAAAAAAGGAGAGCAAAAAAAGATGAGCAAAAAAAATACGAGGCTGCTCAATAAACTTTTTCATTGGAGTTTCTTCTAATTTAATAGCTCTATTACAGTTTGTCATGCAGAAAAAGTTGCCTAATTAATAAAATGAGCTTTGAAAGTGGGCCCCATTTAAAATACCACGAGTTCAATAAATCGACAGCAACTCAAGAATTCAAAGTGACATTTGGATGAAAAAATTCTTGTTGAAATCGATTAACCAAGACATGAGCATGGCATATTATATGGAAAGTCGATGCCAATAAATATGATATGATATGATAGTAACAAATTCCCATTATATTAAGGCAATTCTCTTCAAGTGCTCTTTAAGCCTTCACAAACTTTTCATAGACTTGCAAAATAATTTTAAGCACAGCTGCAGCAGCTGCTCTGCAGCATTCAGACAATTTATATGGCACTCTAAAGACTTTAGTTCTTCATTAAGTACAACCCAATTACGTTCTGCAAGCGCATACAAATAAAGCTTAAAATACACACATACATACATAAACATTTATACCTAGAGAGAGAGAGAAGACGCAACACTCATCTAATTATTCTCTCAATTATAAATCCTCTCATCTACTCCCCCTGTCCGTCATCCCGTTGCTAAGCGTTTCAAGTATTGTGATTGTATGTGTGCATGTGCGTGTGTGTCTGTGTCGTTATGTCTTAGTGTGTGGATACGCACTGGAATTGCAAACAGGCAGCAGGGAGCATCATTACAAACTGAACTGTAAGCGTTTACAATCGATGGCAAAGCAAATCATTGTCATTACGTGGGCGTAACCGCACGCACACCCAATAAATACACACACACACAGAGAGAGAGACACAGCGGCATAGTTAGGGAGCTGACGATGGGGAGGAAACGGGGGCCAAGACTAAAGCAATTTCCGCACATGTTTGTGGCCGGGCTGGCAATAAGTTTGTATTTAGTACGAGTATTGGGCGCGTGCATTGCAACAGTAATGAGTTTTAATCATAATTGATTTACTGCTCTGCCTGCATTGCTCTGCGTGAATCGGAGGAGGCTGTTGGCGGGTTGGCGGCCTGTCATCGCTGCTATTCAGGGATCGGATCGGACCGGGGCCTCCAATTCCAATTCCAAGACCAATATCCATCACTTAAGCCGCAAACCCGATTTATGCGCTGCAATAAAGTTTCGCCAGACAAATTATGCCATCGCGCGCAGCCTTGACGGCGGAGTTCATTTTTCAAAAACTACCTTCTCCTCTCTCGTCAACCGCCATACGAAAATAAACGATGCGAAAAAAATAACATAAAAAGCAGACAAAAAAAAAGTGAAAGAGTGGAGAAGAGAAGAGAAGAAACCAAGTGAATGCGATGCAAAACTTGTGCCGCTTTGCAACTCAACACTCGGTTATTGACTTATAGCCGTGGCTGGCAGTCAGCGAGGAACAAATGGCTTTCGCACAGAACCCAAAAGTTTCCGTTTTTCCTTTTTGGCCGGCAAAGCGGCAAAGCCGGCTGCAGAGTAGGCCACGAGTAATGCGGAAATATGCAAATATTTTCAACAGCCCAAAAACTTTTCACAATTGCAACTTATTCGAGTCTGTTGCCACTTGTCGTCCTCTGCGCTTAACAACAGTTTAAAATCAATTGCATTATTGATATGTCCCAGATGAACTCGCCTGGATCTGCCCATGCCTAAGCCAAGGTCTAAGAAAATGACATTTGGCGAGTGGGCGCCGTAAGCCGACTATGAATCGAGAAGGAAAGTGGGAAAGCGGAAAAGTGGGAGCGGGCATCGCAGTAAGTAAAGTCAACAAAATAAAGTTTATTTGTGTGGAACTGAACTATCACGGAGAAATAAGCTAACAAAAATGCAAAGCCCGCTTCAAGTGACGAAGAGCAAGGAATAAAATATATGAAGAATTAAAGCGAAGATAAATAAAAAAAAAAATAAATAAACAAGTAAGAAGGCTCTAGTCGAGACTGCTCGACTAGGAGATACCCTGAACCCTCTAAGCTGATATTCTAATCATTCTGCACTTCTTTTATGCACACATACATACACATGCATCCACACGCACGCATAAGCCTGCGCTCTGCTAACTGCGCAGAACGCAGCGACTGCGCTTGGGCTGCGCTGCAGTGTGGGCATATTATAAGAATTTATTTGTTGAATAATTTCTTTTGTAGGCATACGATCTTAATAAAACTTATATGCTGAATACGTGTGTACATTCCAAAGCACAAGTCTCTAGTACTTGAAATGCGTTTTTTTACAAATTGGGGGGTAAGGGGGCGTGGTATCTAAAATCTGTAAATTACAAAATCTTTATATCCATTAACTTTATATACAACCCAAATTTGAAGACTCCAGGTCTAAAAATGTTGAAATTAGGCTGAAAAAACAAAATCAATTTTTCGATTATTCTCGATAAAAAAGTTATCGGACGATTTATCGGAAAAATAAAGCAAACTCGTACTGCGTATGGTACTCACGAGTATGCATGCCAAATTTCAGCTCTCTAGCTCTTATAACTTCTGAGATCGACGCACTCATACGGACGGACAGACGGATAGGGCTATATCGACTCAGCTCGTCGCGCTGATCAAGAATATATATACTTTGTGGGGTCTGCCACGCCTCCTTCTGCCCGTTACATACTTTTTCACAAAACCATTATACCCTGATTTCCCATTTTCAATGGGTTCAGGGTATAAAAACAACTTAAAACAGAGATGAATGATGAGAGGTGTACCATTATAAGAGAGAAGAGAGGAAGAATAATGTATGACAAATGTAGTTTAAAAAAAATATATATATAGAGAAAAACAAAGAAGAAATTGTCACAACTTTAACAGCAATCAGAATAGGATTGCAAATTGAATTGAATTAAATGAAAAAAGAAAGAAAGGAAACAAAAGAGTTTGAAGTTAATTGCAAATGTACAGGAAGACGTTGAGTGGTACGAAGCTGGCATTGCATTGATTGGCCATTCAGTTATGCAACATAAACAAGTAACAAACAACAACAAATTCTGATTTTCAAATTTCAGCCAAAAATATTAAATTGGCTTCAAATAAGCAAATGTATAGCACATGACAATCTCATTTGATTACCCCGAAAGGAACAAAACAATAAAGTCACTTTCGGCATTGATTGATAAGTTTGATGGATCAGCGTTGCACAGCGACAACCAAACGTGCAGCTAAAATATATTTGCTGTGGTTTCACCTGCATGGAACAAGTGGGGCACGGTGAAAAGGCAAGCAATTTATTTACCAGCTGGAGATGCACTGATTGGCCATTTAGTTATGCGACGTCATAAAGATAAGCAACTTGCTGTGCTGCTGCTGCTGCTGCTGGGCTTGGTGTGGTCTGCTCTGTTCCTGACTGGTGTGGTGCGTCGTTCATTAGCAGTGGGCAAGCGTTTAGCTGTCAGCTGCCCTGTCGCCTGTCCTTCGCTTAGTTAGTGCCGTATGCAAATTGATGTTGCCTTAACTGGAGCTGGAGCTGGAGCAGGAGCTGCATTTCACTGGCTCGAAGGCTCGGGGTCACACAATCTTGGCTGAGCTTAAGTCTTGGCTTTGGCTTTGTTTGTTTAATAAATTTTGCCCAGGCAAAGACAATTTCAAATTCTTCCAGCAATTGGCAAACAGCAGCAGCAGCAGCAGCAGCAGCCACAGCCATTGCTCGAGGCCCCTGACCAGCAATTGCCAGCTGCTGCTGTAACTACAATAGTAACAGTAACAGTAACATCAGCAGCTAAGGATCCGTTGCCGTTCTGAGGACAAAGGAAACCAATTAACAGACGCCATTGTTTCACTTGGTAATTCAACTAAATTGCATAGTGCTGCTGCAGTAGTTGCTATTGCCGTTGTCGATGCCGTTGCTGCTGCTGCTGCTCCTCCTCCTGCAGTTGCAGTTGCAGTTGCAGAGGCAGTGGCAGTGCATAAGCAAATGCGCTTCAGCTCCCTGGAGTTCAGGAGTTGAGCTGCGTTAGAGCCACAAAATGTTCACCATGAATATGGTGTAAGGCTGCCTGTGCCGGCGAGCCAAAGGGCAGCATTCGACATTTGTTCTCCAGCTCCGGTTCGGCCATTGTAGGTGCTTAAAGGTAAACAACAGCTCAACAGCTCAAAAGATGGCCACATGCTAAGCAGCCCAGTCGAGCCAGAGGAAATAAAAGCGTATTACTTGGAAGTGATATAATGCACAATAATAGTGCACAATGCCAGGTAGAGTTTACTTGAGCAATCGTACAAGTGATTTTCTCACTTCATTTACAAAACCACTTTCCAGAATTTATTTAATGTTGCACAATATGGATATGAAAAGCTCAGAGAATCTCTCTAGCTTAGCTCTAGCCCATTGTTATATTCGTTGGTGGATGCAAGCAATCGATGCTTCTATTAAATCTTACTCAAATGCGGAATGGTCTATCATATTCCATCTATACCATTTTCAGTTAAATTTCCGGTATGTTGTTTCAGGTGAAAACCCCATAGAATTTGGGCTTGTCAAATGCGAGCACCTCGTTACGATTTGCGCTCAGCGCTCACACGCACAAAAGCTCGTTGCTATGGGCACTCACACCCCAGGCCCAGCTAGTCAGCTTGCTAATCAGCAGCTACTGAATGGCATGCAGCCATTGGGGCACGACTGCTGCACAAATTAGCTATGGACCAGCTGCGGTGCGGGTCAGCACATGGCACACTGCATGTGCCGCCAGAGACACAATTTGAGAGGCCTAACTTTTGTTCTGCTCCCTTTTAGTTTTTTCTTTTTTCTTTGACAACAAGCAGTCACAGCCCGGCAGCAGCTGGCAACGGGGCAACTTTTCATTAGCATTGGCTCTAACAAATGTGCCCAACATAGCGGGCTGCCCACTACATGCACCGCCCCCACTGGGCTACAAATGGCAGAGCCGCCTGCCACCTGTCCGATGTGGAGCTCCGAAAAACATTTTCATTGGTTTTCTTGGTCAAGCGTCGCTTGGTCGTTGGCGTCGCATTTGAAGCGCGTCGAAAATGCATTTACATCGCGGTTGACGGCGTCGTCAGTGATCGCAGCGTTTCCACGGCTGTTTCATTACCTGTGTCTATATGTGTGCGCTGGGTAGAGGGACTGGGTGAGTATGAGTGTGCGTGTGCGTGTGCGCGTGTGTACGTGTATTCGTGCCTCTGCCTGTTTGCTTGGATAAACGATGTAATCCAATTGAAATGGAACTTTTCACATTTAACGGCACACATGCGGACGGCAACGAGCAGCGACGGGCCAGAGCAGCGGGGGTAAACGACGATTCTGCTGTCCCGACTCCGGCCCGATAATGAAAACTTAAATCATGGCAGCCAAACGGCCGGCCTCAGCAGTACGGACCCAGCAGTACAGACCTAGCTATACTCTGAATTTTATGAGTTTTACATTGTTGTAAATTGCCAGAAATAGTTTCAGGATTTTCAGAAAATGAGTTGGAATTGTAAAATGCATTATAAGATTCAAATGATTGTATTTTTATATATTTATATTTTTCTATTATTATATTAAAAATATTTATTTTTCCTTTAACATTTTATTAATTAATTTATTGAAAAGTTCAATTCGACGTAGAGTCAAAATTCAAAGTAAATCACTGGCATCTAACGCTTTAGCATTTTCCCATTAATATGTAGTATAGCTCAATCTAGTAACTCGTTCCTTGAGCTATAATGTTAAAAGTATAGAAAGTTAAAGATCCACACAAAAGTCAAGAATTGTGAAACTTTAATCAAGTATTCTGACGCTCAAGATAAATATCAAGAAGGAAGCCATATTACTTGATGGGGCCAGACTTAAGCCATGATATGTTATTTACCTCAGCAGCTGGCCATAAGTCTTCGTTTAAATGGAGCGAGTGCCTGGCTGCACTTCGCATCGTGTTCGATCTTAAGCTCCTTCAGTTTGCAAGCATCTGATGACGGAGCGAGCTCACTGGGCGGCTGCTGCTGCTGTCATAATACGCATAATACCCATCTTGGAGGTAGTGCATGGCAAATGCAATTGAGCCAGCTGCTCAGACTCGCCCGGGCCGCCCACTCCTGCTCCTCGCACTTGCTCGCTGGCTGTCTCTGTGGGAGCTGCAAAGTGTTTTCGTTTCGTTTCATTTACGTGGTCCGCTGCGTGCCAAATCCATGAGCGTGCAATGGCCGCAAAAACTTGTCCTCGGACAGAATGGCCAGGACGAGCTGCGTCAACCTTTAGTAGCCTTTTGATGACTTTTCGCCGACGACGACGACGAACGACGACGACGACGTTGTTGTTGTAGTAGTCACACGCCCCATTGTTCTTGTTGGTGTCGTTGATGGGCGTTCAAATGAAAACTTTTCCAATTATTGCGGTGAGCCTGGAGAGAAAAGTGACCAAAAGAAAGCAAAAAAAAAAAAAAAAAAAAAAAAAAAATTAGAAAAAACCTAGAGAAAGAAGTAAGGCAAAAGTAAAATGGAATGGGGACGAAAGAATCCGTGGCAGACAAACAACTAAATGAGCATCAAATCGAACTCGTGCGGCGCATAATGAGGGCTCGGGCTTTTGTGTGGGCCCGGTTCGATTCTCGGGTAACACCCAGGTCATTAATCTAATTTGTGGGTACCCCAGATAGCAGCAACCAGCCAACAGCCAGGAGCAACCAACGGCTAACAGGCAGCCCAAATTTAAAATGGATGCCGGACTGCAAGGTGTAAGTACATCGATCAAATTATTGTGCGCCCGCCGCCTGTTAATGATGATGATACCTACCAGCTGACCAGTGGCAAACGCTAAACAAAAGCAACAACAATGACAATGATTCACGCTGACAATGACAATGATACGTTAAGCCTGCCCCTCCCCTTTCCCCTAACCCACCTAAAAGAGCAAAGCAGCATGAGATTGCATTGAAGCATTGGCTTGGGCCAGGCCGTAACAATGGCTTATGCCATGGCGCTAATGCGAGCCGGAAGTGACGCCATATTGTTTTTAGAGCTTTTGTCATTTAGTAACACTGTTGCGATGACAATGCGCTTGTCCCCTTCCAAAAGTAGAAGCATAGACGGGCACATTTGGCATTCATGTATTCATGTTACAAGCGATACTCTTTGATTGAATGCTTTCGCTTTAAATTCCTTAAATTTCTTCTTTTTTTTTACCAAAAAAAATCTTTGAAAGAATTGTCATCATCATCGTCCTAGAATGAAAACACTTTCTGTTTATATAAAATTTGTAATTAAACTTTATACGCGAGCGTTACGTATTATAAACATTTTCTTCTACTACTTTTACTCTTCCTCTCTTTCTCTCTCTCTCACTCTCTTTCTATCGCCCTGTCTGTCTCTCTCTCGGTCTCTCATGTGCCGATTAATTACACGTCTTTGCTCTTTTGCAAAGTTTAATTAGTTTCGCTTTTAATTGACAGTTGAAAAACTTCAGTCACGCTGCCATTTGACATTTGCTCTATGCGTGCATGTGCTTGTGGCTGTGTGTGTGTGGGTGTGTATGTCGGTGTCATTGTTTGTGTTAGCCTGAAACTCTATGGTTAAACATTGGCAATGTAAAATAATTATATTATGTTTTTCTAATGCATGTTTGCAATATTGCAATTTAGTCCTTTAGGTTTTACAGAAAAAGAAATATGTACATAGATATGTAGTATAGTATATGTGCTTATAATATATTCAAATGTTTGATGGAAAAATAACCATTCAACTCCTGTCGTTGACCTCTTTGAATATTTTGACCTGCAATCCTGTGCGACACTCATTATTCATGAGAATTTAATGGGAGACAGGCTAGGCGTGTAAGAAATTTAAGGCTAAGTGTTAAAACTGTTCTTGCCGTCAGATATCAGCAATTAAATTAAGTTCTGTCTACTATGCATACTTATTTTATCTAAATACTTGATCGGGCGGGGTTTATTTAAGTACTAGTTGTCCCGGCGAACTTCGTACCGCCTAACAGTCTCTATATATATAAAACAAAGTAGAGTTTGTTACAAAACTTATAATTCGAGATCTGCTGCACCAATTTTCATGGTTTTTGATTTGTTGGATTTGTCTCTGCCCCGAATTGGAAACAGGCATTGTATTTTTGAGTGCTCGCTAGAAAAGTAGGGAACGCAATGGCTCTGGTGGCGAGACCACTAATGGCAATGTCACTTTACCACTAAGGCAGCACAAACCGGGCGTTTCACCAGCAAACTTCAATGCGCCACAATGCTGCCAAACAACGTCCATTGGACCAATGCAAACTAAACGATTCAAGCTATAGTCAATGGTGCAATCATATCGAAACGCTTCTCGATTCAAATCAATCCTTGAACCATTTCTTATTGCCATTTCACGGGCTGCCTCTCTGAGAAGCACGAATTAAGGCCCTTCTTTGCTGGGTACTAACGCGGAGCCTTTCTCGGGCGATTTCTCGCTCTTCGTCAGATAATTGACTCGCGATATTCCGTTGCCTAATTGCATTATGGGTCCGCCGGGAAAGATTAGATCTTCTAGGACGCGGCATTTTTATTAATAGTAATATTGCCCTCGCACAAAACCATATAAAACAATCGAGAAATATAAATATAAATAATTTACACAAATTTACGTTTGAGACAAACAAATACCTGAACTTTCGAGATATTTAGCTTTTGTACGCACGCGCACAATTATTATTTATAAAGTTTAAAAGTCAAAAAATATAAAAAGCCAAAAATACACTTTTTAATAATAAACTTTTTTTTTTAAATTTCGAATTTTGAATTTTTTATTTATTTTTTGAACAGTCAGGTTTTAATCTTTTGATTTTTTTGAATTTGTGCAGATTTTTGATTTGAAATATTTTTCTTTTTGATTTGGAAAAAAAAAAATTTTTTTTTCTGTTGATTTTTTTTTTTTTTTTAATATTTTTTTTTTTTTTTTTTTTTTTTTTTTTTTTTTGTTGAATAGTCAGGTCTGCTCGAGACTGACTGACTACATTTGTTTATTTACTTCTATACAGGACCGAAACTGTCACTGTTGTCAAGGTTACTGAGTATAAATGGAAATTTGAATCTTTAGGGAAAAAAACGCGTTTTTCAAGTATTCGTCAAATTTTTTCAGTATTTTAACCCTCTAATGCTGTTTTCTTAACTATTGGAGGAAAATAATTGGAACAATTTTTTTTTAAGTAAATTTAGGCTTCTAAACTCAAAAATGAACTCAGAAAAAATATAGAAGTTTTTGTTTAGCCGTCAGGTGCAAAAAAGGTAATAAGTATCTCAAGACACTCTTGGGCATCTAAGAGTAAAAAAAAACGTATTTAATAGAAATGTTAATTTTTATTATTCATATGATATGTTTTAAAACAATTTTTTGTTGATGTGCAGCATAGATGTAAATAACATTTTTCACAAATGCATTGCGTTTGTGATGATTTACAGAGCTTGCACCGTCTCTTATTGTCCCGATCCAACCAATTTGGGAAGTGGTTGACTTGGTCAAAACGTAATTCCGCTATTGGGTGTAAAGTTTTTTTTCCAAGTTTAAGCTCAAGCTGTGATGGTCGGGCCCGTGGGGATTGTGAAAAAGGTGACCGATCTGTTCGCAAAGATGGTGACTGCATCTGGTCTTGTACAGATACGGTACTGACTGGACGACCTGCGTGGGCTTTATTTCTAAAAGCCACCAATCCTTCAGCGATTAACTCGCGAAAATCGGGAAGTTCCATCAATTTGTCACTGATTGCGTTTTGTTTTTGAATTCGCCTATAAAGAATATAAGCATTTGTTGCTGCCATATCAATACAATGATAAAAAAATTCGAGTAGCAGCATCTTTGGTTTTAGCTTTGATGTGATAACGGCCCATAAGTCCATCCATAAGATCAACGCCGCCCATATGTGAGTTATATTCCCGAATTATTTGCGGACAGTCAATTTCAATATGTTGCTTTTTCTTCCTGTCATAACGGTCAATCTTAAGTGTTCTTTCACTTAAACTTTCCGTAGCAAACGGTTTAACACCTACGTAAGTTGACAATAAGCGAACGGCCTTGTTATCCTTCCAAAGTACATTACTGACTTCTACCCCGTATGACGTGCCTACGAACTCAGTCGAAAACCCTCTCGGCTTTTTGTTAATGATTGTATCGTCAGGTAGCTTGCAATTGGGGATTCGATTCGCACGTACTGTGCCAAGGCTATAAATACCCTTTGCTCGCAAATATACCATTAGAGGCAAAGAGGTATAAAAATTATCAAAGTAGACGATGTGGTGCTTAAAGCTTTGTACTGTTTTGGTCAAACGTACTACTATGTTGGCCGAAGCACCAAGATCTGGGTGACCAGGTAAGACAATGTTATCGCCTGCTCCACTATAAATTTCGAATCGGTATGCATAGCCATATGAATCACACAAAACGAACAGCTTAATACCCCATTTATATGGCTTATTGGGCATATATTGTCGTAAGTGATGTTTCATCTTTGTGCTACACATTTGTTCGTCAACACAGAGGCGTGGTTGCTTTGGCACTGAGTCAAATCTTGTATTAAGATAATCGACAAGTCTTCTAGTGCGAAATAATGGATCGTAGCCTGGTTGTCCCTTTTGATCCGCTGGCTTTCATCACGTAATGACAGGTGCTGTTTAATTGTCTCAAATTTTGTGCGGTTCATACTGGATGCAATGGGTAAAAAGGCATTTCTTCCCCAGTAGCTTCTCATACTCGGGTAGCGATATATTGACATATATATCAAAATTCCTATATAATGATGAACATCTTCAATGTTCATTTGGAATCTTGTTGATATGTTCTCCACTAAAGCTGCGCGCATGGTTTCTTCCACTATCATATCCATGATTTTGGCATCAAAAAAATAGCGAAATATCTCTGAAGGAGTTTTGAGATTCATTATTTCAGCCGGCAATGAAGAGTCGCCTTGAAAAGCAACATTGTTTACATGCAATTGCATAAATTGCTGTCGCCACAAAATTTTGCTCGGCTCCTTTGCTATTGATTCAATACCTAAAAGACATTAATTAACTAATCACATAATATAAAATAATATATCGCAATGTTGTTGTCTTACCAGCACCAGTAAAGCCACCAGAAGATGGCAAAGCCACGCATGTTATACCTTTAATAGTTGGTAGTGGCGATCGTTGTCTTTTCGGGGATTTCCTAATAGGCTCAGACTGACCATTATCAGGCACATTCTCTTCATCATTACAAGCAAATGATATTGTGCTAATATCCTCCACAGCAGCTATTAGAGTTTCTGCCACATTTAAGTCATCTTCCTCGTCGTCACTTGACTCGGATAACTCTGCATCGGAAGGGACATTCTCAAACAATTCCAACAACTGTTCATCAGTTAAATCGGATAATTTGAATCGTACCCGGTTTGCCATCTTTATATGGTTAATATGTCAGTTTCTAGTAAAACAATCCATATAATGAATAAGTGTACACACAAAATTGCAAGCAGTTGTGAAATAGCTGCTGGTAAAAAAAGTTGCTTGCAGCCCCAAAAAGTGTCTCAAGACACTTATCACTGTTTTTAAGCTACAACGCACATTTTTTATTTTTTTTAATTTTTGTAAACTAGTTTTAATTGTAAATAAACATACCTTCCAATAAAAAATTATTTTAAATGGATTGCTTTCACAGATTTTGTAAAATAATTGTTGCACAACAGCACATGCAGCAGATCAATTTACACGCGCGAAAAAACATATGTTTTGTGTTTATGAAAATAAAAAGTACCGTTTAAAGCACTGGAGAGCTTTTAAAGCTTTTTTCTCAGTAAATTTGAATGTTTTATTAACGATCAAGCAATATTTGAAAGACAAAAAAGCTCCCTTTTTTTTTTTAAATTTAAAAATAAAATAAGTGTCTCAAGACACTTATGAGCGTTAGAGGGTTAAAGATCTACTGACCTACTCGTTCCGGAGACAAATCCAACAAATCAAAAACCATGAAAATTGGTCCAGCAGATCTCGAGTTATAAGTGCTAAGACACTTTTACACAACTCTCTTTTATATATATAGATTATTGACAGAATTTAAATAAACTAATAATATTTAAAACAAGTAAGAAAGCTCTAGTCGAGATTGCCCGACTACGAGATCCCCTGAACCCTTCGAGCAACTGATATTTCAATAATTATTCGCATATGCACACATACACGCACACACACAGATATACGTACGCACGCATAAACACGCGTTAGCTGCAGTGTTGGCTTACTATGGGAACTTAATTGCCTAAAACCTTTTTTTTTGGATGGACTATCTTCATGAAACATTCAGATTATGAATAAAACATATGTAGATATGCATGTATTTGCCAAAGCATAAGTTTCTAGTATTTGAAATAGGCCTTTTACAAATGTGAGGGTGAGGGATGAATTAGGGATGGGGGGTAAATTTTGACAAAACCCGAAATTTGGAGACTCTAGCTTTAAAGATGTAGGAAATATAAATTTATTACTGGTTGTCGATAATGTTTTAATCGATAACAAAATAACGGGGCAAGTTATCGACATTTAATACAAAACTCGATATGCGCGTGCTATACACGGACCTCTTATATCTTTTGAGATCGACGCGTTCAAGCTTACGGACAGACGGACAGAGCTAACGACGACTCAGCTCGTCGTCCTGATCAAGAGTATATATACTTAATGGGGTCTGCCACGTCTCCTTCCGCTTGTTACATACATTTAACAAAACCATTATACCCTGATTTCCCATTGAAAATGGGTTCAGGGTATAAAAACACAACGTAAAACTTACAAAAATCCATAAATCAAATAAAATGAAATTAATAATAATAAAACATTAAAAATAATAAAATATATATATATATATATTTTAAGTATATATATATATATTTTTTTTTTACAAATTTGTGATTTATACTTAAGTAGAAAATTATATTTAATTGCAAAATGGATAAAAATTATTATTTATTCATTTATTTATTTTTTAAATGGATTGGATCGGATAAAAACAGTGAATTACAAAATATTAATTATAATTATATTAAAATTAATATAATTAAAATTAAAACAATATAAAACTAAAAAAAATCAATAGATAAAATAAAATTATATAATAAAAAATTGATAATAATAATATTAAGATAAATATAAAGAAAATATATATGTATATATTTTTTTAATAAATGTGTGAAATATACTAAAGTAAAAATAAATATTTAATTGCAAAATAGATTAAAACTAAATTTATTATTTTCTTATAAAAAAAAAAAAAAAAATCAAAAAATAAAAAAATAAAAAAAGAACATAAAAGAGGATAAGAACGAATTAAAATGAAATTCACATGGATAGGCTCGGATAAAAACAGTGTGTACTCCATGAGGCTGGTCATGCCTATCGTTTATTTCCATTTTCAAGCTCTCGACTAGCAGTTCAATTAGTTAGTTAGTTAGTAACTATTGCCTCTTCGAATATCGATGCATTTTAGTTATCGTAAAGCAGAGCTCAGTAAAAAGTCAATGAAACACGCCCTATTTGCACTTTCTCTCAATTGTGCTAAACAGAGAAAAAGAGGAAAGAAACGCTAAGCAGCTGAAGAGCTGAGGAGCTGAGGAGTGGAGACTCACCGACTGTGCGGCTCATATTGAACTGCTCTGTCGTTGGCCAGATGAGTGGATGAGTGCG